CCCCCCCCCCCCCCCCCGCAACCAATGGGCTGATTACTAAGGCACATGAATACCCCCCACAAACATCACCAATATCCCACTCGTCCCATCCCGGGACCACGCTCGCTTGTCTCTCCTGTCAATAGTTCCTCTCTCACCTAAACATGAAGAGGTTGGCGGCCGGCCAGACCTTCCAATCGGTGAGCCAGATTGACCAGAAGGTCTCCCCTAGGTTCTTTTTGGTCTCGTCCACTACCTTGGCAGGGCCGCCGCCGTTAAGCACGGCCGCGTAGCCGACGAAGCTGGTGATCGAGAACGGGGCGTACACCATCTGGTCGACCACCAGCTTCTTCAGGATCTGCTGGAAGCGTGTCCTGGTTTTCGTGTTTTTGCCGTTCCGTCGAAAAAAGTGAGGGCGAGGCAAACGGAAAATCATCATATGGAAGAACCGTCAAAACCAAGCGAGGAAGGCAAACGGAAAATCACCATGGAAAAAACCATGAGACTACCGCACGGGTCGGCGGTTCCTCATCGGTCCGAGATAACGCAATAACCCTTGTATGTATGCACCACAAGCAAGGGCCACAAGCAATTACTTTCATTTGTTCTTGCGCCGGGCTCGGTGACGTCAGGCGGGCGAGAACAAACAAGCGTGCTTAAAAAAAACGAGGCCAGAGAAATTCGAGGTCATCATTCCAAAACCTATTGCGCATGGGTGTTTCCTCCCCGACTCTGTCTGTCTTGTCTGTCTGTCTGTCTGTCTGTCTCTCCATGTGTGTGTGTGTTTTTTTTTCTCCCATCATTCGATTCTGTCGTCTGCCCCTCTGGCCCCTATCCTCCACTTCTACTAGCTAGACGACCCAACCGGGGTCACATAGGAGGGGGGGGCTGGACCCCCTCGTGCGGTTCCTGCCTGAAGTATTTTTATCGCGAGAAGGGTACAGCTATCCCTTCCCTCGCGACTTACGAAGTCGATTATGGTTTACTGTGTTCCCGGTCTCTATTTTCAAATGATCTCCAGCAGGAGGCTTCGAAAGTCGGGGTATGATATCTTCCGTCATCGTCATGCCACCTACGGTGCGTACCTGTCAGAGCCGATGTAGCGGTCGAGGACACGGTACCAAGCCCCGAGGGCGAAGCCGTTGAGCATGATGCCCAACAGCCCGACCTTGGCGCTACGGGCGTAGTCCACTCCTCTCGTCCTTCGGCGCCAAAGAAGGCGTCAGATTGCGGGGAAAACAGCAGCGGCGGCAGCAGCAGCAGCAACAACAACAACGTGGAAGAGGTTGAACAGAGCGGAGGCAAAGCAGGGGATGGGAGCAGCTGTTGGGTGAGCTCACCCGTCGGGTGTCTGTGCAGCAGGTGGAGGATCATTGTCAGATTGGACTCAAAACCCACGCGCTACTTGAGCGGCCGGATGTTGCGTTATAAGGAAGACCACGTGTGCATACGCGTGCGGCGCTCCTGTGTAGTCATGGCTTGATTGCGAATACGGTGGGTAACACGAGATACCAAGCCCCCTGGACCGATTTTCAAAGCTCGATATCTCCACGACGAAGAGGTGTTACCATTTTCGGAAATGTCATGGAATGTATGTGGACCCTTAGGCTAAGATACCGTTTGGGCCGATATCTCTTGCAGAGAGATACACGGAGCATCTGCGCAAGGGTCTTCATACTCCGAGTTCATACAAGCGCAACCATGCGGTGTATGACGTTCCCTGCGGCTCAGTGTCGCCTGGGAGTGAGGGCGTGTCGTAATTGCACTTTGGAGGACAGGGAACATCCCTGTTGCCTGTTGGGGAACATCCCTGTTCCCTCTTCCAAGTCTTGTGTCAAAACAAGCACCACATCTCCAGGGAACACTGATCAGTTCAGCGCGCGCGGCCCGCACGCACTCAAAGGCAACACATACAATCATTGGGTGCAGAAAGACGAGTGGGGGGTAGAGGAAGGAGGAGGAGTGGTGTATGAAGGAAGCTGTTGACGCGCGCACATCAAACATATGTGCTAGGTATGTCGGCTAGAACAGGCGGTGCTCGTCATGCAATTCGCACCCTCGAGAGTGCTCTGCGAGACTTGCTTTTTGAGTTGTGGTCATCGGCAGCTTGTCGTTTCTACGACACTGAATTTTCCCCCATACAACGGCCACAGGAGTATCCGCCGCCGTCTTGTTGCATGCAAGACACCTGATGATGGTGAAAATGCCTATACCGCTTGAACTGGTATCATGCAGCACGTGTGGCAGCCACATGCCCGAGAGTGACCACACACATTTCACCACGTCCTGAATCGCCACCGAAGAGCCCGTGTTCCACGTTCCCTGTGGTGTGTAAATTATGGAGCGGCGTAACTACCTCAAAAAGGGAACGTGTGGGTCAATTCTTGTTTCCAGGAAATATATTTTGTGTGTCCGACCAATCAGACAAAAATTCCGAGTTCCCTGCTCCCTGCTCCCTGTCCAGAAAAGTGCAGCTAAGACACGCCCTAAGCGATAGCGAGCGACTGAGAGAGGAACAAAGGACAAGGAAGGAAATGGATTGAAACGAAGCAGCAAACTTGCACACAGCCAGTGGCTGGATACGCTCCACACTGCAATGAATCTCGTCACAGAAAGCTCTCGACGAGACGGTTCCAATGCCGCCATTTTCGGCACCGTCTCTGCTTCTCCTGCCGAGTAATCGGGCTTTGAAGTCGGCGCGAGGGGCGTGGTATCTTGTGCCACGGTTGGTAGTCTGCTGTAGACTGTAGACTTTAAACCAAGTATCATTGTGTGCGGCTCCATGAGCAATTGAGACAAACAAGGAGCAGAGACCACGCTGGGTTCAGTCATGGGACACCGGGCCGCGTGCCAACGGCTTCAAGGAGTTCCATTGCTAGCTCGGAGGCTAAGGTGGCTGTACATTATACCGCTATGAAGTCTCTACGGGTTTCGGTTGACGGCTGTGCTCGTGTTGGCCTGCCGTGACCAACCCATGTATGAGTCGACTACAAGCATTCTACTGCGAAGTACGCTTCAACAAGCGAAAACAACTCTTAAACACCATGAGCAAAACGAATTCTTCTTGAATGATGTCATCCGCGCCCGTGTTTCGAGCTGTACCTTGAATCTTTCCTTGAGAGGTGCAGCAAAGGGGGGATGCTACAAGCGGTGAGATTTTGGCTTCTACACGCTGTGCGGCCGCGCCGCCCTGTTGCGCCCGGGAAAATAATCCACGGCGGTAGCTCCGTTTTGCAGCCGCGCCGCTACAATTTTCCTGCCCTGTCAACCCCGTCAAAAATAAGAATATGACATGAGACGCCGTACCTGTCGATGAACTGCTGCTGCCAGGATGACTCCTCCGACTGATGCTGCCGTCTCCACCCAGCCACTACGAGCTGGGACTGGGGCCGAGCGCCCTGGGACAATGCATCCCCCACGGCGAACGTCGAAAATCCCACGGCGCCGTTGATAAGCGTCGACCGCCGGTTTGCCAAGGCAGCGATAAGGGAGGAACCGAAAACCTTCATCGCAATTCGTTCCGAAGTGGATGTGCGTGCGTTGTTTGCTGGACGATACCCGGGTTACAGCTCCTACACTCTCCCTCTCACCGCCCTATCCTCTGCGTCGTATGGCAGAATGCAGGAAACGACAACAAGGACGTGCAGGACGCGACGCCTTCAGGCGTACACCACAGCGCCGGGCAGCGTGTGCGTTGTTGGTGTTGTTGGTTTGTTGCCGGAACAGCGGACAGATGACACAAGGGAGCTCCGCGGTATCAACGTCCTACATGTAATTCATCCGCATTTTTTTGAATTATTGATTATTCCCAGAAAATGCACTCATCAATGACAGCAACGCCTCTTGTGCAACATCAATAAGCCGTGCTTGGATAGCAGCGAAGTGCCATCTCTTCTCCGTCTTTTCGTTCATCACACCCGCACCCACCCACATCCGCGTGCCGGATCGAGCAGAGAGGCCAGCTTGACGAGCTTGAGCTGGAAAGCCCGTCTTGCTTGCACACGTGCAATAGCTGCTTGTGTCTACACATAGCAGGCGCACAGGCGGTGGACGTGTTCTTCACTCCCCTATCCCACCGCACACAAACAAACCCTGGTTGGGTCCTCATCAGACTCACAGCCGGTCTCGAGCACGCAGCAAGACACCCCCCACGAGCCACCAGCACCGCCACTGCTGCTGCTGCCGCTGCTAGCCGCCCCTGGTCTGCTCCCGAGATAGACGGCAGGCAGCAAAATGGAGAACCAACCTTTGCTCAAGCAAGGGCCACGCGGATCCGGCACCGACTTTGCGGGGCAGGACCATCATGACTTTGGGGGGGGGGACGTCGCGCGCGCCCGGAGCGGGGGCGGGTCGCAGGCGTACTCCTCCGCGGCGGTCTTCGCCGTATTTTTCTTCCCTGCCCTCGGCGGCCTCTTGTTCGGGTGAGCCAGCAGCAAGGGCTACCTGTGTGCGGTTTTTGGCCCTTCCTTCCATGCGTGATGGATCGATCACGGCTTTTTTTCTGTTTCAGAGAGAGGGAGATGCTTTGCGGCAGGGCACCCCACAGCAGAGATGAAGAGTATGTATATAGCTCTCCACGTGGTGCTGCCGCTGGCTTGCTGGCTTGAGCCGCCAGAAGGAACAGGGGATGTTTCCGGTGCCGCGATTGCCTGCTGGCCGTTCCTTGCGGGGAAGCTGGGCGTGCAACCAGCGCGCGAGGGTGCTTAGAAACTGCTCTGTACGTTACATTGAGGTTTTTCTGTTTTTGATTAAGTGTTGCCTGCGAGGAGCTGGTGCAGCCTCTTGGTGTGAAGCGCACAGCCGGGCGGGGTTTGACATTCCGGTGGGCTTGCAGGTATTGGACCCGGTCGATGCACCCAGCTGGATCGTCGGTCTCGCCACGCACAGAGGAAGCCACCGCTACACCACCACCGCCTCTGCACTGATAGCGTACATGCCGTCGTCGTTACGCGTGCCCGGTGACAGAAATCAAATAAATGTTTTTTTTTGGATACCCCGCATAGGCGATTTTTGAGGCGAACAGCAGTACCCGGGAAACATGTAAGGCTCCGGGAATCGTCGGCGCACACTGCTCCAGCGATGCGTTAAATCCTTCAGCAGCTGAATGACAGTTTTACCCGTGTTCAGCCCACCTCCAACTATGTTGAAAACAAGCTCTTGACGGAAACGAGCTTCAGCTGAGTTTCTGTTTGAGAAACGAACGGTATGTGAGCCAGCGCGGCGGTCGATCTCGATCGAGTACGTGCCCTGAGCAGGCTTGCACCGATGCCATCGTGTGTTTGATCTCCGAACACCGATCAACGCTAACTAGAGGTTTGGAGCAATGCTTGTACTCCAACCATTGTACAGCCGGAGCTACTGAGCAACGATGGGCTTCCCATCGCGATGGGAAAGTGACACCGGGGGCTCCGCCCAAGAATTTTCTGACGAAAAAAAGTTACGAGTTTCTTGTGCATTGGGTATGGGTCACGGATGACTCGTATTTTCGGCCTCCGACCAGATTCACCCTCCACTAGGGCACCGCGCGTAATTATTCAAACAAAGCACCAATTTTCAGCGAAGGGTTGCAGTAGTCTTTACAGCAATGTCTTGACTGCTATTGAGCACGGACTATTTCTAAGCTATCACATACTGGTACCAAAGGGAGTGTACTTCCGTGTTGATCCTGCAACGGAGCACAACATCACTATTTAAGCAGGCGCCTTTGTTGATAGTTGATTTTCAAGGAAACCCGAGCCTTGATGTCTTGTGGGCATATTTGGCCCGACATGTTTCCTGTGAGCACGCCCGGCCAATACCTTGTTCAAGTCTGAACACCGGAACTGTACATTGTAGTATTTTTACACACATGAAATGCCTGATTGGCAACCTTGTGGTGGCTTGACAGACTCGGCCCCAATGCAATAAATTTCCCTCTTGACCGGAAAAATAACCGTTCACACAACCCGTCAAAGCGTCCGTTTGCAAATGTAAGTCCGTACCTGATTGGTCGGAGAGTCTTTGCGTCATCCTCTCGAGAGAGGCCTGAAGGAGGCACGCCATACATACCCGTGTCCATGCTTCCCAGAGCATGGAGGGAGAGGATGACAGACTTTTAAGTGTTTTGCAGGATCTCAGATATATCATGGGTGAAGATTTGATATGTGGTTAAGGTACACCCCTCTCCCTGTTGTCCAGGAGAAGCAGTCTGCTGGGGCGGCGGTGAATACCGGCCGTGTGTGGCGCACAGGACCAGCCGTAGCAGCGATCAATTTGGTCAACTCTTTCGATGTTGGGCCAGGCGCGTGGCCTGTGTTCCTTGAAGCAAGGAGTATTTGCTCTCTGGTGTCATTGCATTTCTCCACTTCACGGCGAACCAGGGCGAGTAAATTGATGCTTAATCGTTCGCCGCGCGTGACAGCGGCATGTGTGTGTGTGTGTGTGTTTACGTCCTATTTATTATTGCGACAGTCCCCTCCTTTTTCGTGGTGAGACGTATACTACATTTTCAGCGGATGTAGAGTACTACACTGTTCCGTGTATTGTTTCGTACAACTACAACCATGTAGGGTCACACAGGAGAGGGTAAACACCAGGGCTTTTTTCTTGTTTTCATTTATTTTCATGCCCCACCTTCCTCCTGCGGTGCGCGCTAAATTTTAATTTTATCGCGAGAAGGGTCCAGTCGTCCCTTTCCCTCGTCAAGGTGCTAACGCCGAAGTTTGTAGGTACTCACGAGAGCTTGTCAGCTATATTTCTCTTTCACTCGCAAATTTCGTAAATTTTTCACCCCACGGGGATTTGAACTCACGACTTCTGCGACTAGCGGACTTCGAGGATACCGCTAGACCACCGGGGCGACCGGTTACGCGGCATGGTGGGAGCCGATTTTTTTTTATGAATGTTTGAATCCCCTCCTTTTGTCCTTGGTCAGACTTGGAAGTAAGATCGCTCACTGACTTGTTTTGATTGTCACCCTTGTTTATCGTTGACCTTGTTTATCGTTTATCGCCTATTGGTATTTGTAAAGGTACGACATCGGCGCGACTTCTTCCGTGCTGACGCAGCTCGAGTCTTCCACCTTATCGGACGTTTCTTGGTACAACGTGGTGGCGAGCAGCACGCTCCTGCAGGGGATCATCACCAGTAATGGCGTTTTGGGTGAGTCGACGAAAGGAAGACTGTCTGCTGCGGCTGCTGCTGCTGCTGCTGCTGTCGCTCTCCTCGTTGCTGCTGCTGCAGAGGTCTTTGTTGGTGGTGCTGCTGCTGCCGTTGCCATGTCCTTTTGCTGGCTCGTGTCTTCGGCCGTGGTGGGAGGTGGTGCTGGTGGCATCGGCGAGGCGGTAATCTGCCTTCGCTGCTGATGGCGCCGCTGACCCCAATGGGGGGACGCGTTGGTTTCGGCGTTGGTCTCGTCCTTGCTGCTGAAACGCTTACCACGAATCGAACAGTTTGCTCCACACACTTGTCCCTCGGGATTACGCCCGGCGCCTACCTCACGTCCGCCGTCGTCTCCCTGCCGACACATCAACCACGAACGACCGCTCTCCTTACAGTACGTCGATGGGTGACGGCAGAAAACGCCTCATTTCCCGCCAGTAGCATGTAGGACACGTTTGTACGTGTCTGTGGCTGGCAACAAGAGTGCGTGGACGACTTCCACCGGTAGTGCGTAGGGCGGCATTTTTGCAGGCTTTCCATCTGGATCCGTAGCGTGCTCCCGGCCCGGCCGCCGGAAAGCCCCGGCTTTCGGCGATGCGTTTGATTTTTTTTCTGGTTGTCGTGTCTACACAATGACAAGTCACAGATGAAAAGTCACAGATGACTTAGCTCCAACCCCCCTATAAACATGCTAGGTTTTTTAGAAAGTGGGTGAGCGGGTGAATATTACATCCTCACCTCTGTCTGGCTATCGCCACGCGCTGAAGAACGTCTCTATCTTTAAGCATGGGGTCCCAACTTCGCTGGTTTTGGCACGAGCTTCCGGGCGGAGCAGTTGAGCGCTAGGAAGGGAGAGCAGGACAAGCACAGGAAGCAACAGGAAGCCACATCAAGACCGTGAGAGCTTGCTTGTCTGTCCTCGACCTGTTCCTCTTCTAGCGCTCAACGCTTCCCCCCAGAAGCATATCACCTGCAAAGCCGAGACCAATCCGCAAAGATAGAAGCGCTTCTACGAAAAACGGTGGCAAGGTCTACGGTTCGATGCCGTTCCTCGTTTTTGGAGATTCCGAGGAGGTTACGCCGCCCCGACCGATCTGGCTTTCGAGCTTTCCTCGCTTTTTCCGAGGTGTGAGGTGTGGCGATTTCGATGATTTCGGCACACTCGGCGATTAGTTCTTGCTTGCTGTAGAAAGAAGGACAAGGGCAGAGCAGGGTATGCATTCCCTCGGCATATCCTCGGGTCAAAGAGCGACTCAGCCGGGTACATGGTTTTAATGGCCACCGTGAAAATGAGCCTCGCGCCCACTTTTCCCTCAGCCGTGTCACTTCAAGCCAGGGGGTATATCCCCTATCGCGGCTACCTTTTCTCAGCAGGGTGCCGTGATTAAGTTTGAAATCTCGCAGATACCGCCCAGGAAAAGGCCGAGCATACATACGTTTCTCTCAAGGGCGAAGGCGGCCGCAGATGGGAAAACTGAAGGCCTTTTTTTTTTTCTCGCCTTCCATAGCGCTGTCATCCTCGGGTACCCTTTCACCGGTCCAACCCCAACCCTGCGTCCCCCGCCCTTGAATTCACCGCCGCACTTTTTATCTCCCCCTCTCTCCTGAGTTTTCCTTTAAAAAATAAAAAATATCAAATGAATAAAACCTTGGGAGTAGTATGAAGTTGTCCTTCCGACACTCAACAATAATTTAGTATCTTCCGGACCTACGTGGTACCCCCCTCCCCTACACTGAGCTTTCCTCTCGAACTATGATACTTCATTTCCCGGGAGAGGGGCCCCGGTCGGATCCCCCCCCCCCCCCCCCCCC